AATCGGCCTGCAGGCCTAACCCTGACTGCCCGGTCTCGAGCATGCCGATTTTTTTCAATCTATATCTTGAATCTGCTATAGCTTCCCATGCATGACCAGTTCCTAAATTTCTTTTGCGTTTCCTGTTTCTTTGCTTCAAAATGTATAATCTTTTGCCCTGATCGGCCAGGATATGTCTTTTTTTCTTCCTTTTAATTATATAGCTATTTCTCTCTATTATTTGGTTTGATCACTGCGTTTCTCCCAGTTCTTTTCTGGGTTTCTAGCACTTTTTAGTTTTTCCTTCGTTAAAGGTTAGTGCTTTATACGGTTGCGTTGAAAACTTGATTAAACAGAAGAGGTTTCTTCAGTTATGTTCTTGGCATTGTTTTGGAATATCTATATATAGCTAGTAAATTGGTGTGCAGAAAAGGGCCTTGCTTTTTGTCTTTAGGTTTTTTCCCTGAGAACTTGAAATCAACTTCTTTATAGTTACTACCTTGAAATATAGTTTTACCATTCTAGTGTTGAAATGACTTGGTAAAAGAAACTGATTTTAGTACAAAACAAAGATGATGTAAAAAGAAAGTAAATGAAAGAGAATTTTTTTTTTAATGCTAGTAGTGTTGAAAATGTAGTAGTGATTGCTTTTTAAAATATTTTTTGTTTAAAAATATATCAAAATAATATTTTTTATATTTTTTAAAAAATTACTTTTAATATCAGTATATCAAAATAATTTTTAAAAACTACAATTTTAAAACCCAACCCGACTCGTCTGGTTGACCTAGAACTATGTTGACCTAGGACTGGAACTAGGCCGAGTTGAATAAAAAATAGAAAAATTCATCACCTGGCAGGTTGACCTGGCAAAACCCGCTTACAACCTGTTGATTTTTATTTTTTTATTTTTTTACTAAAACGATGCAGTTTTAAATTTTTTTAAAAAATAAGGATTGACCCGACCAACTCGGTAACCCGGTCAAAACCCGAAACCTGAGCCTTGGACCAGGCCAAGTTTAAAAACTATGTCAAAAACATAAAAACAAACTTATTTAAATTTGAATTTATTTTTATTTTTAATTTGTTTTTTTAAATGACATCAAAAATCAAATAAAATCTTATTTGAATTTGAATTTGTTTTTGTAGCGTGAAATTATGTATTTTTGTAAAAACAATTAAAAGTTAATTTTTACTTTAAATTAATTTATTTTTACATTTTTAGATTATTTTAATTCAATAATATCAAAATAAAATTCTAAAAAATAAATTATTTCAATGAATTTTTAAATAAAACAACAATTATCACAAACACAAGAACAAAACGGGCTATCGGAAATTAATGTTTGAAAGCAACGTTGAAACTGCTATTACACATGTCCAGTCAAGAATGCAGTAGAGAGAGGATAAGGAATCTCATTGCGTCAGAAGTCAGCAAAGCTAACACTAATTACCTTTTCTATATATCTCTAAAAGTTTATTGATATTTTTCAGAATATTTCACAAATTTTTGACACCTCACGTGAAAAGAAATAAAATTCTCATATTCAATATACATTATAGGAAAATATAAAAAACTAAAATAATTAATTCTTATCAGCATATCTGGTCAGTTGTGTGTGTTTCAGAGTAGTTTTTTTTAAAGTATTTTTTATTTAAAAAAATATATTAATAATATTTTTTTTATTTTTTAAAAATTATTTTTAAAATCAGTACATTAAATTAAAAATATAAAAAATATATTAATTAAAAATAAAATAATAAAATTTAATTTTTTAAAAAAATACTTTTAAAACACACTTTCAAACAAATCTCCATTATCTTGTATCTATAAAATGTTATGCCTGGATTTTATATTCCATGCTTTAAAAGTTAACATTCATTATTATTTTAAGGGTTCACTAATAGTTATTTTTTAAATTTTTAATAAAAATATATTAAAAATATTTTTTTATATTTTAAAATTTATTTTTAATATCAGTATATTAAAATATATATAAATACTAAAAAAATAATAATAACTTTATAATTATTAGTTTTCAAAAAAAAATTGAAATTTTTTATACGTGGTTTAAAAAGTTTTCAATTAATAATATCAGATAAGAAAATGACAGGTTCTTGGCCATGTTTTATAACCACAAGGCAGGAATATGTCAAGATCAATGTCCATTTAGCAACAACCTGGCAGGACTTCACGTATGAGGGGCCTACAATATCACCTAATGGGGCAATGGTTGGCTGGCTCTTCTTCAACATGTCGGTGTCACAGACGTCAGCATTAAATATGGATACACTGTAATGCTACAAGGACAACTAAATTAATCAGATTTTATATTTATTTTTTAAAAAATTATTAATTTAAATTTTATAAATTTTAAAATTATTAAAAATTTATATAATTATTAACTTTAAAACTTATAAACTTAATATATGCAAACTAATCCAAATATTTATATTAATTAAAAAAAATTAAATAAACAATATACAATCAATTCCATTTTTTCTTTGTTTAATAATTGTAGATATTTGCTTCATTGCTTTGTTTATCTGATTTTTTGCCACCAATAAAAAAACTGAAAAATAAAAATCTTAATTTAATTCTTCAATACGGTATCGATTATAAATTAAATTTTATAATTTATTTTAATTTATTTTCTATAATAATATTTTAGTCTTATAATTAAGGCTACATATTTTTATGGCATTTTAATCCCATTTAAATCAAGTTGTTTTTATTTTTTTATTTATAATAGGTTATCTTAATCTCATGATACGGGCTATAGGTCCTTTAATATTATATTTGCTTTTCATTGGATTGCCATTATCTTATGACTAGAACGGCAAGTTTAGCAGGTTAACTTAGTTGATCCAATATTTTTTTAATTGATTTTTTCTTCAAATTTATCATTTAATATTGTGTTTTGTTGTGAATTAGGCTTTATGATTTTTTAGTTTACTTTTTATTAGGCTATTCCGATCTCAAGATCTAGGAATATTGCTTAATTGGTTAACCCGGGTGAACATGACTCATTTTTTGTGTTATTTTTTAATTAATTAATATTTTTTTATAAATTTCATCGTTAAACATTGGGTTCGATACGACTGATTGAGAATTGAACTTCATAGTTTGTTTTGATTTTCTCTTTATGAGGTTATCTTAGTCTTTTGACTAGAGTTGTAAATTTTGCAGGTTCTTAGGTTAAATTAAGTCATTTTTTTTTTCTATGAGGTTATCTTCGTTTTATGACTTTTGACCAGAGTTGTAAATTTTGCAGGTTCTTGGGTTAAATCAAGTCATTTTTTTATTTTTTTTTTCTGTGAGGTTATCTCGGTTTTATGACTTAAATTATGGATTTGATAGATTGAATCAGATCATTTTTATATGTTTTTTTTTTTAAATTTAGTTTTTTTTTTAATCTTTTCCTTCAATATTTGGCCGCTTAAGAATTAGTTTTTATAATTTGTTTCAATCTTCATTATGTGGATTATCTTGGTTTTATGACTCAGGTCACGAGTTTGATAAATTAACTCAGATTGTTTTTACATCTTTTTTTAATTATTTTCTTTAATTTTGTCTTTCAAATTGAATTAATTGAAAATTATGCTTCATAATTTATTTTAATTTACTTTCTATAGGGCTATTATAATCTTATAACTTGAGTTGTAGATTTAACATGTTAACCCGAGTTGACTCAAGTCAGTTCAATATATTGTTATCTTAATATTAAAAAAAATGTTATCTTGAAATTATTTTTTAGTCAAACTATGTTTAAGAGCCTGTTTGGGAGTGTTTGAATTCACTCAAGTTAATTCAATATATTATTATTTTAATATTAAAAAATATTATTTTAAATTATTTTTTAGTCAAACTATGCTTCGGGATTGTGATTACGGTTACTTTTCAAAGTGTTTTTCACTTAGAAATGTATCAAAATAATATTTTTTTTATTTTTTAAAATTATTTTAATATTATCGTATCAAAATGATATAAAAATACTAAAAAAATATTAATTTGAAATTAAAAAAATAAAAAAACTTCAAATTTTTTCAAAAGTACTTTTGAAACACAAAAATAAACATGATCTTGTTGCTTTTAGATTCGTAAAAATCAAGCAAATCACATCAAGTCAACTTTTATATAATTTAATTATTTTAAAAAAACAAACATTAGCAACAATAATCTAGTTCTTTACTAAAAAGTATATTAGATAGTTTGAACATCCCCATTTCTTCAAAGAGCTTGCCCTGGTGATTCAAACTCTATACTCGGTTCATTGAGGTTACATTTACCTTACCTAGCTAGCCATGGAACTGTACAATAATCAAAATAACTAATCCAAACAATTTTTCGTAATGAGAAAAGCCTAAATTGCATGGTCATCTCTTATAAAACAAAAGATGGGCGGTCACTAACTTGAAAACATTCTACAGAAATACTCTATTTTGGTTAATGAAATCTGAAGTTGTTATAAAGAGGTGAGATATGTCGATAAAAAGTTTGGAATTGTTCAAGATCATTCATGTTTCAGAATTTTTTGTAATAAAAAATATTAAAAAAAAAAAAACATATTGTACCATTCATACAAAACATTATTTATCTCATTTTATAGTTCTATGGCCATAAATAATGGCGAATTGAGAAATTTGCACACTCCTGAGGACTGTATATTGTGTTTCTTTCTGAAGATTTTTGTGTGTATCAATTTCCTTTGCTTTGTTAAACATCGCATCATCATCATATCTTACTTGGGAATAAAGATTTAAACTTTTGATAAAAGAACAATGCAGAAAATTAGCCTTGTGTAGATTAGATTGTGTGTATTTATCTGTTCGAAGAAAACTAGAATGGCAAAAAGAAAAGGCCTGAGAAACACAACCACTCAAATTATTGCTTTCTCGACATTGGCACCACTGATTGATATCCAAACATCACCCAACGTGAAACATACGCAGTTCCAAATTGGTGGTGCTTGATTTGCTTGAGATTTTTCATGATAATCGGGTTTTTTTTTTCACTGCAATTCAAAGAAACAAGAACTTCTAAAATTTATTTATCTTCCCTTCTTCTTCCATCCAATTTAGACGCAATCCGCTATCCTTTTATGTTGGAATCTATAATTTTATCCGAACTTGAAAGATAACAAGCGGGTTTTTAGGGAAGTGTCATCAAACTTTACATGTGACATTGTGGGTACCCATTGCATACAGTTTAATCCTGTGCTGAAGATTGTTTGTAATTTCAATCCATATGCATTTAGTGTTTCTTCACGTAAAAGTAACTACCGTATGTCCTGCAGCCTGCTTCTGGTTGCTGGCTAGAGCTTTTTCAGGTCACTTTCCTTCACAAAAAGTCCATGGAAGCCGTAAGGAACCCGCCGAGGTAACCTTACGGCAGCCACAATATCAAGCCCTGGTGATCTTGCATCCATCACCAAGAACTTGGACTCTCCTGCTATCTCATCATGAACATATGACACCACGTACCCATCATCTTCCTCTGCCTCTGGATTCTCAGGCTCCCTTGCTACAAAGAAAGGCTCGCCACCATAGCATCTTGGCCCATATATCCTGCTAGCCACCGTACATTCCTGCCGCGCTCCTTTGGAAACATCCAGCTTCACCACCCCTGATATCTTTGGCATAGGGTCACCTATTGCCGCGTACACGAATCTGTTCTTCTTCCCTAAATAAGCTGGGTTAATCACCCCAAAGTCCAGGTTTCTAGCTGAAACCGGGTTTCTTGTAACTATGCCTGTTTTCAAGTCTATTCTCACTTTCTCAACCAAGGCATGGATAAGGTCCATTCGCTCCAGTGTGTGTTCTACTGATAAAATGTTTGGTGCTAATATGACTACGGCATCCTCCTCATCCCATGCATTGATAGCGTGTATGATGTTGAACCCTGGCACATCGAACCATTTCATCTCTGATTCATCCGTTGCGTATCGAGGGATGATTCCAAGCCTGCATACTTTTGCTGGGTCCGAACCCACCGGGGAGCCACCTCCAAATATCATTTCCATGGGGTTCATCCCAATCTGTATGTCGGCAAATATAGCATACTTGCTGCTAATTCCAAAGTCATGGAGGAAAGAAGGTCTCGTCATGGAAAATATGGGAACATCTGGTTGTTTCTTTCCATTTCCATCGAAGTGAAAGTATGTTAGAAATGGAGGGACGGGACCATATCTGAAAGCAAAGGCCTCCCCTGTCTCCAAGTCTATCTTGGGGTGAGCAGTCATGCTCATCAGCAGCTTTCCATCAAAATCATGACGACCCAGCGTCTCTATGTCTCCATTTGATGTCAAACGCACAGCATAAGGTAGATCCGACTCGCCAAGGGCGTAGAGTCGGTTGCCAAAATAAGTCAAGCTAGTGTTTGCTAGACCAATACCATTAACTGGATTAAATTGACCAGTCAGAATTCGAGCAGCAGAGAGAGCACCACGAGCTGCGGAGGCAGCAAGTCCATTGAATCCAGAGAACACATTTGGAAGAACTGGAGCCCCAGCATCTCGCTCCATGGTATATTTGTAAGTCTTGACGTAGCGACTGCAGAGAGTGGCTTTCCCCTGGGAGATCCTGATGGAGTGAAGCATGCCATCACCATCAAATAAATGGTAAGGTCCTCGAGGGAGGTACTGAGGATTAGGGCCATTTCGGATGTATGCACCATCAAGGCATGATGGTAGAGATCCATGGATTACCTCACACTCAGTTGGAGGAAGTTCATCAACTGGAGCAAAGTTATCACTAAGTACATATCTAGGATCAACTGATTGCCGAAGCGGAGGGTCTATGAAGTTGTTGATGACGCCTTCCAATACATTAAACATCATGGTGGGCTGGTTTGGCACTACAACTCGTCTATCATTTGCAGGAGATTTCCTTGTCGATGGTGTTGGTTTTGTTGCAGCAGGCAAGGTTGTTGTTGATGATGCAGGGCGTGAAGTTCTGCTGGTGGTAGGTCTTGTAGTTGAGTTCTGGGGTTTCTCTTCAATTCTAACTGATGATACATTGAGGGAAGGAAGATGACGAGATAGAAATGATGGTGTGGTTGTGACAGCAGATTTCGGAATGCTCATTGCCATGGTACCGGTGAGGAGCTTTGAAGTTTGTATTGCAGAGAGGAAAGAGGACGATGAGGCATCCATTTTGTTGCCTTCAATTCGTTAACTGCATTAAAAGGTAGGAAGGAAGCTGAAGAATAAATGATTTCTGGGATTGAGTTTATTTATAATAAGTTTTATTTGTTTTGATAATTACGCAGCAATTATTTCTTTTTTTTCTTTTTTATTATTATTAACGTGGATGTTCGGTCCAATTTATAAGCATCTCGACTAATATCATAGACCTTGAAGTTAATATCTAGTAGCTCTAAGGAGACTCGAAGTTATTTTTATAGATAAAAACCGAACAGAATAAAAAATAATTACTCATAATTATTAGTGAGCAAATTTAAGATTTTATCAGTTGAGCTACCTTCAAGATTAACATTTATTTTTATTATTTTTTTTATTCTTCAGAGAGACATGTATTAAATGAGTGATTGATATACTGATAGGGATTATTTTTAAAATATTTTTTTATTTTTTAAAATTTATTTTTAATATAAATAGATTAAAATAATTAAAAATTACAAAATATTTTGAAAAAACATTCGAACCATCAAACATAAACTACATTTATCCACTTGCTTTTGTATACTCATCCATCAAACCACCAAGGTGGTCCTATAGGAAAAGAATATCTAACAATGCATGGTCTATGATATCCTCTCTTGAAATTATATTATTATTGTTATTATTATTGTTGTTGTTTTATTTTTTTAGAGAATAATATAAAATATATTTTGAAATGTTATCTATCAGTTTAAATTTGTGGATTGAATTAGTTTTTTAACATGTTAAAAAATAATATAAATCATATCTTGAAACCTGACCTAATAATTTAAACTATTTAAGAATAATATAAAATATATTTTGAAATGTTATCTATCAGTTTAAATTTATGGATTGAATTAGTTTTTTAACATGTTAGAAAATAATATAAATCATATCTTGAAACCTGACCTAATAATTTAAACTATTTAAGAATAATATAAAATATATTTTGAAATGTTATCTATCAGTTTAAATTTATGGATTGAATTAGTTTTTTAACATGTTAGAAAATAATATAAATTATATATTGAAACCTGACCTAATAATTTAAACTTTTAAGTTAAATTAGTTTTTTAACATGATATTAAAACTTTGATAACTAAATAGTCATGAATTCAAATTTTACTATCTTTATTTATTTAATAAAAATTAAACATAAAATAGCATAAACCTATACAAATTTTAAATTCAAATAATTTTTATTTAAAAAGATATATAATAAAATAATATAAATTATATTTTAAAAATCCATCTATCACCTTAAATTTTTAAATTAAATTGGTTTTTTTACATCCTGTGGCCCTCTCCCGATTTCCAGATATCGTATCGGATTCTGATCAATACCTACAGCACAAGCAAAATTATATTTTCGGCTTCATTTTCATAAAAAAGATGTGAAAACGCTCAACTTAATATTATAGACAGAAATCGGATAAATCTACCTTTCTAATCTAGGCAGAGGTAAGACCATCTATCAAATAGATTTGACATAATGTTGTAGAGATAGGGTAGGATAGGTTCAACTGTTTAGGTAATTAATTACTTGAAACCTCATTAGGAGATATAATTGTGCCAGAATTTTTTTCCTGTGTTGATATTATGATATAGAATATTTTTTAAAAAATATTTAAATAATTTTTTTTTAATTTTTTAATTTTTAACATCAGTATATTTAATATTTTTTCATATCAAACATAATTTTAAAATACAATTTTAAACACAAAAACAACCCAACACTAACAATGCAAAGGAAACAAAAAGAAGTAATTAAGATACCATAAACAAAAACAAGAAAAAAAAAGCCTGATTTTATCCTATAGAGAGAAGAGATCATATATTTGTGTGGAATGACTTGACCCTGTTTATATTTGTGTTTTAAAAACATTTAAAAAAATTTATTTATTTTATTAATTTTAAAATAATATATTTTTAGTATTTTTAAATTATTTTGATATGCTAATGTTATAAATAATTTTTAATATATATAAAAAAATCATTGACATATATTTTAGTACAAAAATATTATTTAAAAAATAACCATAACCAGAAAAAAATTGTCAAAAAAAGAAATATTTCACTATGGTGGTACTAAAACCATTGAAAATAATCCAGAAAGTCCAAAAAAAGTTTGAATTTAAAATAATTTTCCTTTATATTTTATTGTATAATATCATGGAAGTAGTGTTGTAGAAATATGAGTGTTATTTTTCATTATCGAGTCTTTTATATATAAAAAGTAATCTTTTACTTTATAATGTTAGAAAGCACAAAGCCTATTCTAAATACTCGTGAAATGAGTGAAATGAGATTGTTTGAGAACTCAATCATCTATTTCTTTACAAACGATGGTTTCGTCTAGCGGCAAGAGGCCAGTTCTCCTCATGAGGCGAACAGGCTTTGAATCCTTGTTGGTTGTTGTGGAACCTGCTTTAAGGTGCTTGTCGATACCATGAAAGAGATTAGTCTCTTGATCTGGTAGAGGCCGGAGGATACGCCGGAGCAACCAAAAATACAAAACAGCACGTTCGAATGGCATCTGTTTTCCTACAGGGATGATAACCGGCTGAGAGTTGTTCCACAATGATAGCAAAATTTTGTCTTGCATCTGCATTCAAAATTGATAAAAGCTCGTCATGCATGCTCTAAATTGTTTTCCTTCTGTACAAAATAAGTTTACTTCTCACATCTCATTGTGGTGGGATTTTGAGATTCATCAGAAGACACAAGTCTCTCAACAGATGTGTACATTCCATTCCAGGGCATTTTATATTTGCTGTACTGTTGTCCAGGACTTTCGACTTCCATGTATTGGCAATGCATTTTCGGCAAAAAAGAATGTGCGCGATAATTTTTGTTGACAAAATACTCCTGTGGCAATCCAGGTTCTGTGCAAATCTCACAAGTAAAAGCGTGTAAAATAATTTCAACCAACAATGAAATATAATTGGGGACATCCATGGCAAAAACAAATTAGAATGATTGGATATTTGCATGTAACCGATCAACAAAATAGTACTTACACTGTAGAAATAAGTGAAAAGGGCACCTGGAATGTCATTGTTGTTCATCTCCTGACGCCATTGAACTAGCCAGTACTTGCTTACCTGAGGAAAATCGGTGATGGATTCAATTTATGCTTGAAAATGCTTTTTGGCTGATATCAGGTTTGATCATATCTTCAGAGGGCCAAACATTTCTGCTGATGCTAATCTTGTTACGGGGATTCAACCCAGTTGCTTGGGGTGCTAGTTTTTTTTTTTTTTTTTTTTTTTTTTTTTTTTTTTTTTTTTTGGTATCTGCTGCGTTGCTGAGGTTATGACAAATTTTTGGTTTTGGTCTGCTACTGTCAGTCACCGCATTATCATTCCTGTCTTCCAATGGCTTCATTGCTTTCTGGGTCAGCTTTGCTTCCTCTAGCTCTTGTTTTCATTCTTTCGCCCGTTTTCTCTTATTGGTGCCTTCTTCACTAACGATCTTAGTCTTCTTTGGCCTTTCTGCTGCGCTTTGGCTATGCCTTTTCAACATTAATTATCAACAAGTCTTCCTAACAGTGGTAAGCAGCAACACAACCATTGAACAAACTATTGCTTTATTATTATATTTTGTTCGCGAAGAACATCATTTACAACCTTTTTCTTACAACCTATTTTCTTAAACGTCATTTACAAACCTTTTTTTTGGGCATGGCCTGTGCAACTGTGAGTCTACCTTTTCTTAATGGGAGGGAATGAATTTCAGAAAAAACAAAATAGCAGAAAGCTAATAACATCGAAAAATGAAAAGATTGCAAAGAACATATCCACAGCGCTTGTGCTTACAAAGGCCAGAATGGAATGGTCCTCCACATTGATGGCAAAACCGAAACCCACATCTGCATTAATAATCACAATAAATCAGAAATATACAATCTACCTCGTGTATAGCTCCATCCTATCTTTGAATTCATTTTTAATAAAGAAAACCTTAAACCCCACATTTTGAATTCAACTATTCATGAGAGCTGAGAGAAAGACTGAATAGAACTTTGCCATTCAAGCATAAAAGTTCTCAGATAAGTTAGCTAATATACTCCATGACTCCAGTTTAGCCAAATTAACAGATCGAATCTTTACTTTTTCTAATTTTGAAAAATATAATTGTTTTCAGCCATTATAACATCTTTTGATGGGCATTAAAAGATAGTACAATGTTGCTCTATATCATTTTCTCATATATTATGATATTGGAAACTGTGTTGCATAATCCAAACAATAACAATCTATTGTCAAAGTAAAATGTAACTGAAAGAAAAAAAAAATCCAGAGAGAGCACACCTGCATTTTATATCTCTGCATCCACTAACTCGCTCAACAGAGTGACTACAATTATAACATCTAGTCCACCTTTTCTCTTCAATCAACTCACCAGCCAGAATGTCATTCCTATCTCTTAGATGTCTGCTCTCACTGCACCGATATCCTGTATGCCAAGGAATCTTGCATAGGAAACAGAAATTTTTCTTGCAGTTAGGACAATTTATTTTTTTCAGCTTATCCTTACACTCATTCAAAACCAACACTGAGCAATCTTGGTATGGGCAATAGCAACTTTCAGACCCTAAAACCATTGAATCACATAGACGATCACACCATTTCTCAAATATTGGTTTTGAGATGATAGGCCTGCATGAGAGAGGGTCTAATAGTTGCTTGCAGTTCAGTCCAGGGCATTCAATGCAGCCAGAGGTTTCCTCAACTGTTACTTCAATATATTTGGTTATGCAATCCAAGCAGAATGGATGTTTACACGCGATACCATTCTTGAAATTTCTGATTGATAGCATAGGATCGGAGCAGATTTCACAAGTAAAGTTTGAATCTTCTTCTTGTTGCAACTGTTCTGATCCTTCTACTTCTGTTCCTTGGGGTTTTTTCATTGTGTTTCCCATTATATTTTCCGCCTTTTGATTTGCTTGGGAACTTCAGAGTAGTATCCTTGGGTTTATCTTTCAATCAGAAGTCCTACTCCAAGGAAAAACAAAACTCTTTCATCTTCAATGCTCCGAGGAAGTTAATAACACTGAGAATAATCAGATAACAAGCTTACTTTAAGCAAAACAAAAAACTAAAGAAATAAACACTATATACTTAGTTTTATTCCTTGATTATCACTAGGCAGCTGAAGTAGCATAAAGGCAATGCCATGTCAACTACCACTAATGAAAAGAAGGTTATCTTTACCCTGAAAGGAATTTTGCAATTGATAATGATATAATCACGCATTTCAGCACGCTGGATTGGATAACCATATCAAAGAAAGCAAAACCAAGTAAATGAACCGAAAGAAACAGGTGACTACTGATCACAAAATCAATCACAAAAGCATGCGCTAAGTTGTCAGGAGATTCAAGTGCAATACCTCAATATTTTTTCCAATCCAACAGTCTGATTGTCTTAAAGCAGGTAATCCCCTGGTCCTTCATCAAACAACCGTTCTTAGTCCATGATTGGAGTTTTCCAATAGCTGTCTACGTTCTGCGCGCTAGCAAACATGGGCTGTATTGAATCCCAAATTACAGTCCAACTGCAAATCCTGTGACAATAAAGATTTGATCAAAGAAAGGTTTAAATCATGTAAGAGTATAATTTTACTGTGCAACAATTTGATAGCTAATTTAAAACAATGGAACGGGTGCGGCTTAATAAATGGTAAAGGGATTCCATTATTTTAAATTCAAGATACCCAGGATTCAAAGCTCTTTCACATTGAAGCATTTTCTCAATTCAGAACAATTTTCAACTTACAGTACAATGAATTCGATCCATATCAACCAGTGAGTGATAAAGAACGGAAGTGTTTCAGAATTTTAAGCAATTAAATAGAATAAAGGAAAAGAAACGCAATTTTCTTTCACTTTATAATAATTCCCAGCACTGCTTAAACAGTGGATTTCTTTCCTGAAATTCACACAAGAAATTCCTTTCACTTTCCAACTAAAAACAAAAAACAAAGTGTAACAAACCAAAGACTTAAATTGAACAAATGTTTTTGTCTTTTAGACTCATAGTCACTGAAATGTTTCGCTTTCCATCATTTTCCAAGCAAGCAAACAGAAAACCAAAGAATCACAGAAAGAATTCAGATTTTCGTCTCAATTTGACAGGAAAAAAGTACCTAATTCAGCAATTCTTAAAGTAAATTACCTAAACATAAAAAGAAAAGAGGACCCATTTCAGAAAACACAATATTACCAAAACATGCACTGTACCAGAAGCTGAAATTGAATTCCAATACTCATATCAAAATTAAGCTTATTTGGCTCTGTTTTCTCTTTTTAAGTAACAAAATTCCAAGAAACAGAGCTCTCCTTACATTTAAAACAGAGAGAGTAAGTAACTTACAGAGAAAAACCTGATCTGTTTTATACGAGAGTGAGTGAGAGAGGAAGGGAGAGGGCCGCGGGAGCGGAATTCTGAGTTGGGGTGATTGATGCTTCTTTATTAAGATTTGTTAACTGCAAAAGAAACGTCCCTCGTTTCTATATTTGTTAACTGGACGAGAACAAGTAATTTTTCAACCCTTAATGACAAAAGTCTTGCGTATTTTGAGGTGAGTGGACACGTAAAAAAGCTTGGCCCGCTGGTAACAAAGCGATAAGATGGACATGAAATGATGAAATGAGTTGTAAAGTAGGCGTGATAAAGAAGAAGAAGGATCTTTGATTTTTCCTCTAGTTATTTAATACTTAACCATTTGACCTGTGTCCGGTTGCGTGAGGGGTAGTTTTTTAATTAAATAATTTAAGATGTTTACGTATACAATTAATTAAATAAATTAAAAATTATATATATTAATAAGTAAATAAATAAAAATATTAATTTATAATAAAAAATAAAACTAAAAAATTATGAAATATATATAAATTAAAATATTTAACCTTGTAACAATTATTTACTCAGTTATATTTATTAATTTTGTTTATTTAAATAATTTTTTATTTAATGAAATTATAATAAAACAAGATACACACATAAAATTAATAAAAATAAAATAAAAGAGAAAAAAATATTATGCAAGGTTATACATATTAGAAATTTTTTAAAAAAATAATTTTTTTAATTTTTAAAAATAAAATTCATTTATATATGACATAAAAATAAAATTTATAGATGAATTAAAATAATTTTTTAAAAATTACATACATATAAAATAATTAAAAATAATCTCTATTTAAAGAAAGGCTAAATAAATAAAATAAAAATTTAGGGTATAAATATAAATATAAATTAATTAAATATATAAAAAAAAATTAATTAAATTTTTTTTAAAAAAAAAGTTCAGATAATGCTAAATCTAGCAAGCCAAGACAACATGTTTAACCCATTTGAAAAAAACTCATGTGTATTAACTTTTTTTTTATTATAAAAAATAAAATCAAATGATCCATCATTTGCATTTCCTTATATTTTAACCATTATAATAGTTGGGAGATAGGGTTGATAGTTTTTTTATATAAAAACTTGTTTTTTTACTTAAAATATATTAAAAACACCTAAAATATTTTAATAAACTCATTATTAACCTAAAAAAACCACACAAAAAACTAAAACTAAAAATATTTCCAGATTAGTTTTTTTTAAAATTTAAAAATAAAAACATTATCTAAGTTGAACTCCTGTTGCATAAGTTAGAAAAAACCACCTATTTACTCTTCTTCTTCTTTTAATTTAGTTCAATATTTTTTAATCTTACTTTTTCCTAAAAGATTAATATAAATTGGCCTACATTTTAGTCCCCAATAAGAGAGAAATAAAAAGAAAAGAAAAGAAAAAGAAACCGAAAAAAGAGACGAACACTAAATCCATGATATTTTGTGATGGGATCTATGGTGCAATTTGCACATTGAATCCACTGCTTCTTTAAGTGTTTGTTAATTAACTAGTTTTATCATTTATGTGAAACTTTAAATTAATTTCAAATATAATGAAAAAATATGTTATTATTTTCAATGCATTTTAAAATATCATGATTTTTTTAATTTATAAACAAAAATATATTTTTTACACAAAAATATTATATATGATGAGAGTAGGATTTCAAGTCAAATTCTAAAATGAAAAAAAAAATTATGTTATGGATATGTTTTTATTTATAATTAAATTTATTAATTGAGAAGTGAATAGTTTATACTTTATAAAATATACTAATAAATATATGAATTAATAATTGCAAAAGAGTTATTAATACTACTTTAATATTAAAGCGAAAAACTTATCTCAGTAGAAATAAATAGTTTCACATGCAAATGGTTTACATCCTTTTTATTTTAAATTTTTTCATTCATTTAATCTTAGTGGCTAAATGTTGTTACTAATAAAAAATAATTTTTGGTTTTTATAAAAATCTTCATACTAATACAACTTATTCTTATAAAATAGAAGAATGTTTTTTATACAAATCAAACTAATCTCTTCAAAGTATATAATAATGAAAAACAAAAATGTAAAAGATCATTATTTAAATAAAAGAATTTAATGGAATACGGTAAAAGTAAAAAAAAGTAAAACAAAAAAAGGCCTAAGTTGACAATGGACATATCCCTACGATGGAACTTTTTATTTTCATATTTTATATACAAATATTTAATTTCATCTATACTAATATTATTCAGTTTATAAATTATAAAGTTAATAAAATTTTCAACTCCTTAAAATAATCTTACCTGTATATCCTTTTTAATGAATTTTTATATATTTAAGAACGATTATACCATTATTTAATTATGAAACCTAAATAGAATAATTTTAATTTTATTAATTTTATAAAAAAAATTATTTTTTTAAATTCTACTTAACAATAAAATTGATAAAATGTGATTGATACCTATTATAATCAACAATTATTTATTCAATTATAACACGCATAAGTTACAAAATCAAATTTAAGTACAACAAAATTCAATTTCTCTAAAATCCTAAACAACCTTTGGCATGCAAATCATATAATAATATAATAAAATTTTCTTAGTAAAAAGCTGTAAAACACTTAAATATATATAGAAAACTGAAAAATAATTAAATTAATCTAAAATATAAATTGATAAAAAAATATTTTTGCTTTGTATATTTTAGAGTTTATACAAAGTAAGCAAACTCATGTATGTTAGAGTTTATGTGAAGATTACTTGAAGTTCATATGTTATTTTTAATTTTAAATATTTGCTTCAAGTTATTATGAATCACAAGTCGTTCAGGTGTTCAACCTCTAATAATAATTTATACGAACTATTAATAAAAAATCTTCTGAATATTTTTAAAAGAAAAGGGTTGTTATACCTTAGAGTCCTAATTTTTTTTCTTTTATGATTTAAATGTTTATGTACTATGTGTTTTATACATTCTTACATATAAAGAAACTTAATTAAATAAATTTATAAAATTACTCTAAAATATTATGTAAGAGACAAATTAATATTTTATTGTTTATAGGTTTTTTTTTGTTTCTCGCTATGCTCTTATTTTCTATATATACAAATAAAAAAAACCCTATAAACAATAAAATATTAATTTGTTTCTTAAATAATATTACATATATTATTTTAGGGTGATTTTATAAATTTATTTAATTAAGTCTCTATTTGATTTTTCTAAGTATAAAATTATAATTCCCAGTATTAATTACATTTTAATTTTTAAAATTTAATTACCATCAAATCACACTTAATTAATCATCACATTTTAGTTTTTCACGAATGGTTCTTATATGTGTGACCCATTAAATTCTCTAATAAATTAATTAAAATATAAATCATAATCCTAAATAAAATAAGACTAAATACATTAAACAATTTAATTTTTTATCAATTGAATAATTGATTGATTTATATTTGAAGATTAAGTATAATGTATAGTAATTTATCATGATCCCTCAAATATTAAAAAAATCATAAGTGGTTTAACTTAATCTTTGACTAACTAATTTCTTAGTGCAATTATTATCTTTTCATCAAGAATATTTTGATTTAAATATTATAGTACTAAGTATGTTTGTTTTGTCAAATCATGTTATTTCTCAACATTATAGTTATTGATTATTTGAATAATATTTTAAAATTCTTTTCAAAACTGATTCCCTCTAGGCTAATGATTTTAGAATCAATACTATGTGGGAATAGGTAGATTATTTTTTTCTAATTCATTTAGGTTCATAAATCCTTTCTTTGTTATTTAAATATCTTTATATAATTTATGTTATATTCAATATCTACTTGTTTATTACTCCTGATTAAGATAACATGTGATCAGGATAAAAATGCAATAATCTTTATATAAAATAATTTAATAATCTTAAATTTTAAGATTACTTACACAATTATCATAAGAATATTTCAATAGATATAGGTGATATCTTCATATCGAATTATCTTGCGAATTAGTTTAGTGTACATATTATTTAACAAACATATATATATATATATATTAGTTTCAGATATCTTTCAAACCTCAATTTACAAGAATAATTATTTTTTTTATATAAAAAAAAATATAATATACACCTATCCCAACAACTTTAATTTATAGTCAATCTTAATAGAATGTTAATTATAAACATTTAAAAACAATACTTTGATGAAATATAAATATCATAATTATAATAACTTAATAATATTTTTGCAAATATTTTTGTTCCATAATTTTATTTTTTCTCTTATTTTATTAATAAAATATAATTTAGAATTAAAAATAAAAAAATATCTTTATTAATAATAAATATATTCCAGATGAACAGTAACATCTATGCTGCTGGTAATTAACTACTATTTGGTATATTCACCGGCAATCTTTTAACTTTGGATCTTGGATGAGTCTGAGACTCCTGGGGTTACTCCTTGGAATACTCCTTGGACGTATTAACATGTCCTCATTAGTCCATCAAATTGTCTGCAAGAAACATAGCAGAAACTTCCTTCAAACTTCGTAGTCACCTTCTTCGTAGAAACCCTTGGCTGATTTCAGGGTGGACAAAATTCATCCAATACCACAAAGCTGTCTTGAATGAAATTAAAGGGTCATTGGCCACGATCTCAGGTGAGTTTAATCCATCAAAACCGATGCTTTCTCCGGCTGGTCCATAATTGTAATTCCATGAGAGCTGGATTGGTACTCGGCCATAGTAACCTTTATCGGGATTGCATGGATACTGTGTGTTGTCCTCATCACAGTAGTCCCTTGATGGTCCATTGATCTCTTCTATGAAACAAAAATCTGCAGAAATTATTTTATTCGTTAATTACTAACTAATCACAGTAGTCCCTTGATGGTCCTTTGATCTCTTTTATGAAACAAAAATCTGCAGAAAATATTTTATTCGTTAATTACTAACTAATAGAGATTAACTTGTTTACTACCAGTTGGTTGTATCTGACCCAAGAATTGTTACCTTCGCTATGATTTATACAAAGTTAAATTAACTGTTCTCATAAATTTTAATATTTATTATACAGAAGTGAAGTGTATAGTTTAATGAGGTTTACGAGGTTAAATCAACTTCTAGTGTACCAACAATAGTTGATCCAAGTGGTTCGGTTATAACTTGTAAGCAAGATTTTAAGTTTGAGTTTTTTGAATTGAGTATTCTAACTATTATTTTGAGTGCTTTACTTTAAGCAAGTTCTAGTGTACCAGC